GGATGGCCATGCCGCAATCCCTTCTCCTCCATTCTCCTCTCGGGATCTTGGGGACGCATGCACACACGCCCGGCGTGAGTTTAAGCCGTCGGGTCCAGGACTTGAACTGCGGTTGACTACATGGGAGTCCACCGACATAGCTATTACACTAACTGCTGGTCTCTCCCTAGGGTTTTAATTGTTTTCAATCCTGCTGGGAAAGACAGGGAAACAGGCACAAGAACTTGATTCCAATCATGTGGCTATGAGAAGAAAAAGAAAGAACTCAAACAAATGAAAACATAGTATTGTTCTTATTTTTTTTTTGAGAGGTTTTCCCTATAGAGCATGTGTGCTCACCAGAGAGAGAGAGACAGAGAGACAGACAGCGAGAAATCACCTCCCAGGGGGATGGCCACACCACAATCCCTTCTCCTCCATTCAACTCTCGGGATCTTGGGCACTCATGCACACATACCCGGCGTGAGTTTAAGCCACCGGGTCTGGGACTCAAATCGCAGTCGACTACGTGGGAGTCCAGCGACAGCCATTACGCCAACTGCTGGGCCCTGTCTGTTAAATCATTACACCTGAGAGAGTATTCAGTTTAGCTCCCTTTTTCTTCCATCACAACTTGTTTCTATGGCAGAAATCGCTGTGAATTTCCTTAAGTAAAATGCTTCTTTTTCAATGAACAACAGGAAGGATGACCCAATTCTCACAAGTAATGATTTTAAAGAAGGTTTTAAAATGTGCCTTCCTCCTTGCCTTTCAGCATCTGGATGAGCCAGGCCATTGCTTGTCGCTTCCACTCTGTACAATACAGTCATTTCCTCAATTAGGAGGTCCACGCTGACCTCCGGAATCACATTGGTCACGTGGAAATCTCTGTCACCATTCTGAGAATGGCTCCAAGATAAATGTTAATCTCTAACCATTCAGAAAAAAGAAAGTGTATGTGTGAAAAAGAAACAGAAAAGACATGAGAGAGAGAGATAGGATTAAATTATTTATGTAATAAAATGTGACAAGATCTTAAAAGTTTGTAAATCTAGGTAAAGAATATACAAGAGTCTTTCCATTTTATCCAATCCCGTTTGAAATGATTTTCCATTAAAAAATACTCTAACAAAGGTAAAGTTGGAGTCCCCAGTGGGGGAGGTGGGGGGAGAGAGCCAAAACTGAGCACGCCCAGCGCACTCATGCATGGCCGTCTAATTTGGCTGAGTCAATGTTTACTAACTAGCTGCTAATCAAAATGACTGATTACATGACTAAATTCAAATGTTTACTTCCCCTAAACTGACTTTCGTGAGTTTAATCACAGCCACAAATAAAAAATTCCCCATTAGTTAGATCCCATGATTTAAAATCGGGTTTTGAAATGTGCCTATCTCCCTACCTTTCAGCATTTGGAGAAGCCAGGCCATTAGTAGGAGTGTGTGCTTTCAGCCTGGAATTGCGCTTTATAAACCTTTTTTAAAAGGCTTTTGCTATAGGGTGCATGCGCTCGTAGGAGATACACAGATAGAGACAGTGAGAAGGAAAGAAGACACCTCTGCTGGTGATGGTCAAGCTACAATCCCCTCTACTCCATTCTCTTCATGGGATCTTGGGCATACACGCACATGACCCTGGCATGACTTTGAAGCTGCCAGGTCTGGTACTCGAACCATGGGCAGCCGCATGGGAGTCCAGCATCCTAACCGCCATGCCACCCTCTGGCCCCATCGAATTGCACATTTTAAAAGATTCTCAATACGGTCTCAGGTATTGTGTGTGACTGTGGGATGAACCCTGACCCTTCAACTCCCCCAGTGTATCTTCGCATTGTCTTATTACGAAGGGATGGTGCTGAGGGAAAGTTCTAGCCCTCCTACAGCTTTTCTCTGGCGCCTTGACCTAGCAAACTCAGCCCAAGCCCTAACTCAGCTGTTGGGAATTCAGTCCTTTCCATTCTGCTGGTTTAGGTTTGGACCCCTCTTCAAGGCTCAAATTCAGAAAAATCAAGTTTCTCAAGCAGGTGTGGCCTCTTAAAATCATCTCTGAGCAAATATGAACCCCAGAGCAATGGGTGAGTCTCAGCCCCTGCTTTTGTAAAGAATTTCAGGCCTTAGCCCACACACTCACTGCAAATGCTGATCCATATTTACTCTTGTCTAGGCAACTCTACAGAACACTTATCGAATTTCAAATAACACGTCCTGGTTGTTAGTTCTACATTCATGCCTATTGGAAAACCAAACATTCTGCTGAGGTCATTTTTTTTCCTACCTAAAAAGATCATTTAATTAAGTTGAATGAATAGTTATTCTTTTAACTAGGGATAGATCAAGTTTACACAAGACCAGCAGCACCATCGTTCTGCCTCACAGATGCCTTAGGTTGTCTCCTGGTACTTCTGTCCCCTCGGGCCCTTCTCATGACTTCAAAGATGACTTTTGGGTTGATGGCTCTCATGTCTCTATCTCTAGAGAGACTTCCTCTCCAAACTAGAGACCTGTATCTCCAGTTGCTTCTCTGACACCGGCAGCTGGGTACCTGTTAGGCACCTACCATCCATCATGTTCCAGACACGCCCTGCCCACACATACCATCTCCTGCAGGCTCCACTATCTAATGGCCCCAGTCATCCCAATCCACTTTCCAGCCACTCTTCACTCCGCAACAGGAGTGATTTCTTTGAAAACATCAAATGTGATTGTCTTTCTCCCTGCTTTAACTGTGGCTCTCCAGTGCCCTCAGGTTAAAGTTCAAATTCCTTAACTTGACCTTTTTATAAATGGTCTCGTACTAACTGCTCTAGACAGCTTCATTACTTTCTGTGTGCCCTTCGCATTCCCAGTTCCAGATGTAAATGTTTCTTCACTTAAAGATCCTTACACGTATTACTGTCACTGATGATGCGCCCTCCATCCCCCCACCCTGTGCTGAACTTCTCCTGGCAGCTCCCTCCAGTAATCACATCTCCCAGAAGTGTCAGGCAACTCTCTGGGTCCTAGGGTCCTACGGGTCTCCTGGCTCTGCCTCCAGAAGACACTCCAGCCTCAGGCCTCCCCGATGCTATTTATTCTGTTTAGAATTCTGTTTTCCTAGATAATCTCAGGGCTTGCCCCTCCTCAAGTCCTTCCTTATTCACATGTCACCTTCTGTGGGAGTCCTTGGTTAACCACCAAATTTAGAATTGCAGCCTTCACCTGGGCACTCCCAGCCCCCTTTGTGGTTCAGTTTTCTCAAGGGCACTGTATCTGACACACTGCCTTTGTTTCTTTGGTTGCAAGGCTGTCATCTTTACTGAGAAGAAACCTCCATGGAGATACAATTTTCACCTGTTTGCTCATCACATCATACAAGCACTTTCAGAATATTACGTACGTGAGACCTATTTGGTGTGCAATAAAATTCTGTTTACTAAAAACATGAGAGATGAAAATAAATACATTTTCATGTTCCTTTTTCCCCTCAAATATGGTGAGAAACTTCCTCACCATTTCATTTGAGAAGGAGAATACCTTCATCTGAGAAGCAGAAGTCGAGTCCAGCTCATGAAATGTCAGTGTTCCAGGAAAACCGCTGACCCCCCAAAACAAATTACATAACAAAGGAGTCTCATATAAGAAAACAATCTACCTGGAAAATAAAAGCCATTTTCATCACATCTCGCAATAACCTTCTGGCCTTTGAGGGGATCCAGTTTTTTTGATTTGGTTTTCTTTGTTGGATTTCCTTGTAATTTTTCTTGCTGAAAGAAACAAAACAGTAATAAGTAATGAGAAGAAGTCAATGCAGACAGTGAGAATTAAGTGCTTTGTAGCCTGGGATTCTCCATGGAGAGTCACCCTACTGAAGACTTAGAGAATTTAGTAATACTGTATACTCTCTTTGGATCACTTCCTGTTCTGTGTTCATTGAAAATTACCTTTTTGGTAAGGACAATTTCTGCCCCTCCATGATATACATATATATTTTTTTTTCTTTTTTCTTTCTTTTTTTTTTCTGAGAAAGAGATGTTTGCTATAGGGAGCGTGCACTCGCTGGAGAGACAGAGACAGAGACAGAAAGTGAGAACTTGATTTTGAGCTGTAAACAATCTCTTTCAGGGGCTAAGACAACTGAAGAGTTTCGGCTCACCCTTCACCCTCCAGATCCCAAGATCCACCAGACAGGGAGAAAATTGGAACTGCAGAGAGATTGTAGATAATCTCCTCCTGTGTGCCTCTAAATGCTCAGATGTAACTTCAAGAAATTAGGAAGAAACGGTAATGATGTACAGTGAATGAATGTAAAATAAGTACATTTTTTAAAAAAGTGAGACATCATCCCTTGGGGGGGATGGCTATGCCACAATCCCTTCTCCTCCATTTTCTTCTTGAGATTTTGGGCACCCATGCACATGTGCCAGCCCGGCATGAGTTTTAAGCTGCCAGTTCCAGAACTCAAACCACAGTTGAGGACATGGGAGTCCAGTAACATAACCATTATGCCATCTGCTGGTCCTGATTTTTAAGTTAATTGCCAGAGTGTGTGTGCATATGCCAGAGAAAGGGAGAGAAAGCATCTCCTCTATTGGGGTCTAATCACTCTGATTTTTTTTTTCCATTTCTTTATCTTATCAGGATCTTGACCATGTGTGCACATACCTGGCTTATTTTCCAAGACTCCAGGGATGGGATTTGAACTGTAATTGTCCATGTGGGGTCTGGTTCCCTATGCATAGAATTACTACTGAACTATGGGGTCAGCCCCCTTTTGTACATAGCACAAAATGAAAGGAGAATTGGATGACTAATTGAAGAAAATGGAAATAAAGTTAGCAAGTGCCATGTGGTTAAGGCTGTGGATTCCCACATGGCTGACTGTGGTTCAGGTCCTAGACCTGGTGGCTTGAAAACCACACTGGGCAAATGTGAGGGCATACCTAAGGTCTCCAGAGGAGAATGGAGGCAGGGGATTGCAGTGTTGCCACTCCCCCTGCAGGGGGTGGTCTGTCTCTCTCTGGTGAGTGCATGCACCCAATGGCAAAAACCTTTTAAAATAAAAGGAAATAATGAAAAATATGTACAACTAGAATTACTAAAATTCATTTTTATTACTTTTTTGGGAGAGGTTTTTGGTATAGGACATGTGCGCTTGCCAGAAAGACAGAGAGAGACAGAGAGACAGAAAGCAAGAAATCACCCCCCAGGGGTGATGGCCACGTCTCAATTCCTTCTCCTCCATTCTCCTCTCCGGATCTTGGGCACGCCCGCACGCACACGTGCCCAGCATGAGTTTAAGCCACTGGGTCCGGGACGTGAACCATGGTCGACTCCATGAGAGTCCAGCGACATAGCCATGATGCTAACTGCGAGTCCCGAATTACTGAAATTCAATGACAGCCTCAAAGCTGAAAAGAGACAGCTATTTCAGAACCACACCAGTGCTGCTGCCTTCCTAGAACTGTGAGAGGTGAACGAGTTCAATAGAAAAGTCAATCATCGGTTAGCAACTTTGAGGAGAAAAGCACAGCAATTTACAGAAGTAGGACATTCACCCCACCTCTTCAGGACAAAGAAAACCCCTTAAAATCACTGTCTTATAAGGAGAGGCATCAAAGGGCTGAGACGGCTAATGGATACATAATCCTTGTTCCCTGTTTCTCCTGGTTGGTGCAGTAGTACAAGCTAGCAGGCCGTGGGGACCGTGCTTTTCAAGTTCTGAGAGAAAATGACCTTCAACACAGAAGTCTAAAACTGGCAAACTATCAATCAATATGAGGATAAATGAAGACATTTCTAGTCATGTCCCTGAGTAGAAACTTTCCTCTCCATTTATACTTTCACAGGAAGTTACTTGAAGATGTATCCCAACCAAATGAAGAGTAAACCAAGGAGGAGTAACACAATGCATAAAATCTAGGAAGCAGTAAGATTCAGCCCAAAATCGGGAGGAAGAGAGATTTCAGGATGACATCTATACACAGGTCAAAGACAGCAGAAAATCTCCCAAGAAAAAAAAGAACTTAGAAATCCTGGAAATAAATACAGGCATATATATATATGTATATATACACACACACACACACATACACACACATATACATGCACACACACATATATACACACATAGATATACACATACATTATACATGTATAATGAACATATGTAAAAAATTATGATTCAGACATAGCACAAACTAAATTGTGGCAGAATTTTAAATACCTTGGGATAAAAGATAAATCATTCTTTTTGCTTGATGCTATTAACATTCTTCAATTGCCCAACATGTCACAAAGGGCCTTAACGAGATACATGTACTTCTACACTACGAGTTGTCTGAGTATTGAAGAATGCTAATCTAGTCATAATAATGCAAACAACATCATGGCCTTTTAAAAGTTTAAACAATTATGGGGCTGGCAGGTGGCGTGGTGGTTAAGGGCTCTGGACTCCCACATGGCTGACCCGGTTTGAGTCCCAGACTTGGCAGCTTTCTTTCTCACATTATCTCTCTCTCTCTCTTTTTCCCTCTCACCCTCTCTGTCTCTCTCTGGTCAAATTAAAATAAATAAATAAATAAAGTTAAATAATTCTTAGAGGAAAAAATGTTTAATAATTATAGTGAACTTTTGGAAAGAGCACAATGTTGACAACACGATAGTCTAAACACAGCTCTTAGAAGGCGGGAGCGAAAGGAAAGAGAATGCAATGGCAGTTATCTTCATGTGGAATCAGAAACTGAGAGACCAGCAGATGGCCTAATGGTTACATCTCTGGTCTCCAATGTAGTTGACCGCAGTTCAAGTCCTGGACCCAGTTACTTAAAACTCACGCTGGGCGCATGTGTGTGTGTGTCCCAAGTCCTGAGAGGAGAATAGAGAAGGGATTGTGGCATGACTGTCCCCTCTGGGGAATGATTTCTTGCTTTCTGTCTTTTTGTCTCTCCAGTGAGTGCATGTGCCCTGTAACAAAATCTCTCTACAAATAAATAAATAAATAAAAAGGAAATTGAAGAAGATTGTGCAGTCTGACAGATTGGGACATAAAAGTTTAAATATGTTATATCCAAATATTAGGAGCAGAAGAGGGGAAGAGCGATAGGCATAAAATTATCACCTTTTCACAGAGTGGAGTAAGAAATGGTATTTAAATAAGATAAATTACTAAATGGAGGAATAACAGAGGAACTATTAATAGAAACAAACATTTCATAAAATTGCTTCTGTGGAGTAGTACTGAAATGGTGGGGAAGAGAAACCAATCTTTATCAAAGCCTTTTTATATTATTTGAGTTGTTATCATAGAAAATAATTACTTTGATAAAACTAGGGGCCAGCCTGTGGCCTGGTGGTTAAGATGGTTGGATCCCCAAGGCTGACTGTGTGGTTCAAATCTCAGACCTGGTAGCTTGAAAACATGCTGGGTATGTGTGCACAGAATCTCAAAAGGAGGGAGAGATGGAGGAGAAGTGATTGTGACATGGCCATACCTCACAAGGAGAGCTTTCTCCCTCTGTCTCTCTCACTCAGGTAAGTACATGTGCCCTCTGACCAATTTTAGAAAATATTTGAAATCTCAGAAAGGATAGAGCTAAAGAAGAGGATAATTTTAATTCCCATATGAACTAACTAAAGTCCTGGATTCTGAGGAACACATTTGCAAAAAAATACTAGAAAGCAACACAACGAAAATCCAGCAAATTGAACTATGATTTAAGACATTAACCAAGTCCTAGACCATGAGACTAAATCCTGCATGATGAAGATATAGGTTAGGGTCCAAGAGAATAGCACAGATTTTTAAAATTGAACTGACATGAGAACCACAGAAGATAAGAAAGAACTTGTAGTCTAAACCTAACCAAATTTGGTGAAAAATTTCAACCTTCTCCAGAGAATTTAAACAGGATCCAGCATCTTTAAACATAATATTCAAACTGTCCATTGTACCATAAAAACTCAACATAAAAAATCAAATATGATCAATTTTCAAGGTAAAAGGAAATCATAGGTCCCCAAATTGAAATGACCCAGAACGAGCAGTAAAGACTTTAAATCAGCAATCATAACCGTAGTCCATGAGGTAAACACTCTTTTTTTTGAGAGGTTTTTGCTATATGGCATGTGCACTCTCTGAAAAGACCGAGGAAGACAGAGAGAGAGAAAGCAAGAAATCACCTTCCAGGGGGTTATGACCATGCTGCAATGCCTTCTCCATTCCCCTCTCAGGATCTTGGGCACGTGCAACCAGCGTCAGTTTAAGCCGCCAGGTCTGGGACTAGGACCATGATCGACTATGTGGGTGTCCAGCAATGTAACCATTATGTCATCTGCTGGTCCCAAGGTAAATATTCTTGAAATGAATGGCAAGATTGTTTTTTTTTTTTTCAGCAGAAAAATAGAAATTGTAAAAAATAAATAGAAATTTTAGAAGTAAAATGTACAGTATCTGAAAGGACTCAATAGCAGAACTGATATGACAGAGGAAAGAGACAGTGTACTTGAAGACAAATAAAAAGTATCCAATCTGAAGAACACAGAGAAAAAAATATTTTGAAAGGAACAGTACACGGTGTAGTGTGGTTAAGGCACTGGAATCCCACATGGCTGATTGTGGTTTGAGTACCAGACCTGCTGGCTTGACAATCATGCCTGGTGCATGTTTGCACCTGCCTGAAATCTCAGGAGGAGAAGGGATTTGGGCATGGCCATCACCACTGGGGGAATGGTTTTTCAATTTCCCTCTCATTGTCTCTCTTTTTCT